ACCCCTCCAGAAACAATGATTCTAAATGCTAAGCGAGATGACTAGAATTAGAATTAATCGCATAATACATAATACACGGAGAATTCTCACCTGGGTCGCTTGGATTAATACTATCGATCGCTCTAACCTGATTCCAAATAAAACGAATACTGCCATTAGACGACTGATAAGGTCAAATATTTATAGTGCAGTAATGTGACTTACAAAAGGTGTAATAGGATCTGTCAATTCATTGATATCCATAGATCCTCTCAGATAAGGCCATGAGTAAACTCCAGCATGACTAACAGCAACACAACATACATAGATTCCTCATCAATAATGCTTCTTTAATTGTAGATAGCTCAAGTTCTAATAACCAAACCGCAAAATCATACCTATGCATATCGACAATACCAGGTGATATAAACTTCCCACGAACATCAATAGTAATATCAGCCTCTCCTTCATCAATCTCCTTCCCAAATTTCTCAATGATACCGTTCTTCATTAACAAATCACCATGTACAACACCTCCGACACCATCAAGAATAATTCCATTTTTTAGCAGCACGCTCTTAGTCCCAGGTACGGCTCGTGGGTTATGACGTGTCATTCTTGGAGTATTCTCAGGCCTTTGCTTCATTATCGCCATGCATTTTCCTAGACCTTCTCGAAAGTTGCTTTGTGATATTCCAGGAGACACTAAAATGCGTTGCGAGTCGGTTTGCACTTTGTAAACAGACAAGAGCGTTGATGCAAAGGCTATAATAAATAAGAGAAAAAGTGATCTTTTGAGATTGTTGGATTTAAAGTAGCGCTGAGAAAAGGCATGTGGTCGAGTGTGAAGGGTATCATAAAACATGATGGCTCTCTCTTTGGCCATTATGGACAGACAAGATTGAAGTCTTAAAATCTTCCCAGGTGGCAAAAATGTTTGCTTGTTGATCATCTAACAGATAATCGGTTAAGAATGCAACGAACCTCTTTCGTAACACAATGCAAGCCATGGGTGCACTGATCTCAACAAGGACGGTGAACACTGAGCGGAGAGTTATTGTCAATGAACCCGATTAAAGGACTGTCGATGCTGCTCCAATGTTATCTTTTACAAAATCCATATACAGTAACGTGCAAAAGTATCCTACCGGTTGTATCATCTAAACGTACATAATAATAACTCCTTAAATTTTCC